ACGTTTGTTTTGTGAGAACCAACCTTGACATCTTGAATATTAAACCAGAAATAGTAACATTATTGGCTAAAATGAGCTTTGATAACAATCTAATGTAACTACAATCTTCTCATTGCTTCAGCCGCTACAGCCCACAGGAACCACTTCTTCATGGCAGTTCGGTTCATAACAGATGCTTCCGCATGTAATGGTGATTTTCAAAGCGTAGCTTAGATGTGGCATAAGGTCAGAAGTATAGAATACCCAGTTAGGATCGAACTCACTACTTAGTCGTAATAAATCTAGCCAGACACGCTTGTTAACCATTACGTCACGTCGAAGTACTCAATCCGCTCGTAATGAGTGTAAACGTGTCCTCAACGAGGCTAAGCTGATAGAATGAGACACCGTATATTCGCTAACAATTTTGATTCAAGAGATTACTGGTGGCTCTGTAATAGTGTTGAACAAGAGTAAGTTCTTAAACCTTCTTTCTTCAATCAGTTTGAAGTATTGTCATCTACTGCTGATAAAGCAGAATGATTTTCTCGGAAATTCTCTTCCATTTCCACTCTCGATTCATCAGGAGGCTCTTTGCCTGATTTTGCACCTAGAATGAATATCTCACCTGAATGATATGCACATAACTACGTCCATAGTTTCTGCTATTATCTCCAAACTAGATCCCCACCCCACAAGGCATAACGGTATCCCTACAATTGTCCGAAGTAAATGAGCTATTTATCTGGTTCCTGTTCTCTTCAAACTCGACAACATATTACTTGCTGCTTCTTGCTTTCCATCTTGTTGGAAATACTCTTCTGTAGTTTCTGTCTTTAAGAACTATGGCGAGCCTTCTGATGCCTCGAATTATCATCTCTCTGTCTTTAGCTCTTTTTCGCAATATACTAAAGGGGTTCCAATCAACTCCGAATTGGTTAAGAATGTTCACACAGCCTTTTTTCAGATAAACAGCAAGGCTTTCGTTTCTCTAGGTCAACCGCCGATCTGTTACATGTTATCACTGGATTTGTTTGTCAGGCTTTAGATAAAAAACGGCGAGGCTCGCGCTACGCCTTTAAATATATCGAAGGTGTTTCACAGGGTTTGGTATGTTGCCTTTCTTCACAAGCTCGAGGGCTATGGTGTCTCTGGCCGAATATTTGACAATCAAATCCTTCTTGTCATGTAACGAAAGACGAGTTAAACAGTCTTCTAGATTTCTTCACCCAGGACTCTGTCATTGGATCTATCTTGTTTCTGATATTCACTAACGACCTCCCCCCATATCATCAGTTCCCAACTTGGTATTTATACTGGTGACACAACTATTTACTCTTGTTTTAATAGTAAGTCCGATTAGTCCGACAAAGTAGAATTGACAGCTCCTCTCGAAAATCACCTCCAATCATTTGTTAACTGGGACAAGAAATAGTTTGTAAATTTTAACATCTCCAAAACGAAACTGCTATCATTTAATTCTTAAACAGAACTATTTTTCATTCCATCATTATGGCTGATGCTAACCTCCAGGAGAGCAACTCACTGCATCTTGCCATGTTTTCCACCGATATGAAGTCGAATGTTGAATCAATTGCTAGGCTAGGAAAATTGGCTCACTGTGTCACACCAGACAATTTTTCTCATCTAACAATTTTTCTCATCTGAATTCATCTTACATATTTATAAATTTACTATTTGTCTGTACATTGAATATTGCTGCCATATCTGGTATGAAGCTCCTGTAATATAACTAAATTCAAAGAAGGGTCTGTCATTTTATCGTTCCTGTGATGACATGTTGACTTCAGTCACTTGCACACCGCCATGACGTGGCTTCCTGGATACTGTTCTTTTATTGTCCTTTTCATAACACGAATTTCTTCTCATTCTCTTTCACTCTCTGTAACCCCTGGCTTCCTAGTGTCACTATCGTCTTACTTGGCGTGAAACAATTAAAAATTTATATCATCTACTTTTTTGTTAGGGATTTTCGCAATTTTACATAAAATAGTTCTATTATGATCTTAACGCGCGCATTTCTGACTATTATATATATATATATATATATATATATATATAGATAGATAGATAGATAGATAGATGCTGCACATAAAAATATGATGGGTAAATTTTACATATGAATCTTCCATTTGAAATGCCGAACTTGAACACTAGCACCTTGTTTTGTCATCACTTGTAAGAGAAAAGTTAAACATGTCATGTAAAAAAATACCGATAAGTTTCATGAGGAACTGAGAATGTAGCCTTGGGCATGTTGCTAATTCGATATTTATTAGATGTAATAGAAAATGCAGACCATAAACGGTAAGCTAGTTCTGTTCCGTCAAAGAATGTGGCACTCACGTGTCGAGTTTAGAAACAAACCCAAGTCTCTTCAAATGGCAAAAGGTAGTTGATGTATCGATTTTCAAACTCTTAGCAATCTCTTCCTTCGAAATCTTTGGTTTATTATCCCCGATAGCAAGCAGAGCGTCTCCATTGATGTTGGAAGGCCGCCTTGATCGTTTAAGTTGGAATCACTCTGACGAAATCTGACAAACCAATTTTTGACCGTCCGAAGAGTTGGAACACAATTCAAATAATACTTCAGAATGTTTCTTGCAATTTCACATTCTCCATCTTTAAGGCATTCATTTATGGACAATGTATTAACATTCAACAAAAACTGATTCGCAACTGAAAGATGCAAGGTTTCGATGTAGACATCGGCACCGTAACAAACACCAGTGTCAAGTTGTGGTTATTTTATATTAACAATGAAAATCAGGCACTTTTGTAATGATCTGATATATGCCGAGCTGTCATGTGGCCACCGCATTCTAAAGATATCTTAAAGAAATCTCACATTCTAAATAACATCAGCCTGTATCTTTGCTTCTAACCACCATGTTTGACGTAACATCATCAACCAGGCTGCAAGAAATTTTGAAACAAGCTACTACATCTGCCTGGAGGAAAAGAGAACTACCCCCCCCCACACACACCAACAGACCTGCGGCTAATATGGAAGATCCTGTCAGTTTCGTATTGACCAGCATGTATGCATAAAATAAGGACAACATTTCTAGAATTTCAAAATCATATTCAATATCGAAGGAGCTGTTAAGAATGTGGTGAATTGCAATCACATCTCTTGTTTTAGAATACTTTTGTGTGCATCAAGTCAACGTGAACCAAAATGTCGGACCATTGCCATAATCTTTGAAGATGACTAATCCTTGAATACTGGAGACAAGTAAGAACGTTACCACAGTAATGACACCATTCTTTAACAACTAGCTTATTCATGCCATCAAAATGACGGAATATTCTGGCTTGACTCATAATGAAAGGCTTTTACATGTGAATCTTTTAGATATTACCAAACTTTGTTCTTTCACGTAGTCCGTCATCTTACCTCTCGGTTTCCTAAACATTTTCGAAAATTTAACAAATGTCAACAAATGGATTGCTACCTCAGATCATCATGCAAGGAAAATAATTCGACTTATAATTCTCCTTTGCAATAGAAATATTTAAAGTTATATAGACAAAAATATATACAAATAATACCATTAGCATATTATCTTAATTATCATCATAGCCATCCTCAATCCTATCGCTGGGTGGGATCGTAATGCCGCTGCGAAATGGAGTACCTGACCAGCTCCCGCCATATGCCTTGGTTACGAGCTTTTCCCTGTGTCTGTCTGTCTGTCGAGATAGATAGATAGAGAGAGAGAGACAGAGACAGAGAGATAGAGAAAGAGAGAGAGAGATAAACATATTGAGACAGAAATTAGTAGATTGAGATAGATAGATTGATATGAACCGATTATAATAGATACATAGATAGATATGAACATATTGTGACATAGAAATCAACAGACTGAGATAGATAGATAGATAGATAGATAGATAGATATGAACATATTGTGACATAGAAATCAACATACTGAGATAGATAGATGGATAGATAGATATGAACATATTGTGACATATAAATCAACAGACTGAGATAGATAGATAGATAGATAGATAGATAGATAGATAGATATTGTTGCATATAAATCAACAGACTGAGATAGATAGATGGATAGATAGATATGGACATATTGTGACATAGAAATCAACAGACTGAGATAGATAGATAGATAGATAGATAGATAGATAGATATGAACATATTGTGACATAGAAATCAACAGACTGAGATAGATAGATAGATAGATAGATATTGTTGCATATAAATCAACAGACTGAGATAGATAGATAGATAGATAGATAGATAGATAGATATTGTTGCATATAAATCAACAGACTGAGATAGATAGATGGATAGACAGATAGATATGGACATATTGTGACATAGAAATCAACAGACTGAGATATAGATAGATAGATAGATAGATAGATAGATAGATAGATAGATATGAACATATTGTGCATATAAATCAACATACTGAGATAGATAGATAGATATGAACATATTGTGGCATACAAATCAACATACTGAGATAGATAGATAGATATGAACATATTGTGGCATATAAATCAACATACTGAGATAGATAGATAGATGGATAGATAGATATGAACATATTCTGACATAGAAATCAACAGACTGAGATAGATAGATAGATAGATATTGTTGCATATAAATCAACAGACTGAGATAGATAGATAGATAGATAGATAGATAGATATTGTTGCATATAAATCAACAGACTGAGATAGATAGATGGATAGACAGATAGATATGGACATATTGTGACATAGAAATCAACAGACTGAGATAGATAGATAGATAGATAGATAGATAGATAGATATGAACATATTGTGGCATACAAATCAACATACTGAGATAGATAGAGATAGATAGATATGAACATATTGTGGCATATAAATCAACATACTGAGATAGATAGAGATAGATAGATATGAACATATTGTGGCATATAAATCAACATACTGAGATAGATAGAGATAGATAGATATGAACATATTGTGGCATATAAATCAACATACTGAGATAGATAGAGATAGATAGATATGAACATATTGTGGCATATAAATGAACATACTGAGATAGATAGAGATAGATAGATATGAACATATTGTGGCATATAAATCAACATACTGAGATAGATAGAGAGATAGATAGATATGAACATATTGTGGCATATAAATCAACATACTGAGATAGATAGAGATAGATAGATATGAACATATTGTGGCATATAAATCAACATACTGAGATAGAGATAGATAGATATGAACATATTGTGGCATATAAATCAACATACTGAGATAGATAGAGATAGATAGATATGAACATATTGTGGCATATAAATCAACATACTGAGATAGATAGATAGATAGATAGATAGATATTGTTGCATATAAATCAACAGACGGAGATAGATAGATGGATAGATAGATATGGACATATTGTGACATAGAAATCAACAGACTGAGATAGATAGATAGATAGATAGATAGATATGAACATATTGTGACATAGAAATCAACAGACTGAGATAGATAGATAGATAGATATTGTTGCATATAAATCAACAGACTGAGATAGATAGATAGATAGATAGATAGATAGATAGATAGATATTGTTGCATATAAATCAACAGACTGAGATAGATAGATGGATAGACAGATAGATATGGACATATTGTGACATAGAAATCAACAGACTGAGATAGATAGATAGATAGATAGATAGATAGATAGATAGATAGATAGATATGAACATATTGTGGCATATAAATCAACATACTGAGATAGATAGATAGATATGAACATATTGTGGCATACAAATCAACATACTGAGATAGATAGATAGATATGAACATATTGTGGCATATAAATCAACATACTGAGATAGATAGATAGATGGATAGATAGATATGAACATATTCTGACATAGAAATCAACAGACTGAGATAGATAGATAGATAGATATTGTGGCATATAAATCAACATACTGAGATAGATAGATAGATGGATAGATAGATATGAACATATTCTGACATAGAAATCAACAGACTGAGATAGATAGATAGATAGATATTGTGGCATATAAATCAACAGACTGAGATAGATAGATGGATAGACAGATAGATATGGACATATTGTGACATATAAATCAACAGACTGAGATAGATAGATAGATAGATAGATAGATAGATATGAACATATTGTGGCATATAAATCAACATACTGAGATAGATAGAGATAGATAGATATGAACATATTGTGGCATATAAATCAACATACTGAGATAGATAGAGATAGATAGATATGAACATATTGTGGCATATAAATCAACATACTGAGATAGATAGAGATAGATAGATATGAACATATTGTGGCATATAAATCAACATACTGAGATAGATAGAGATAGATAGATATGAACATATTGTGGCATATAAATCAACATACTGAGATAGAGATAGATAGATATGAACATATTGTGGCATATAAATCAACATACTGAGATAGATAGAGATAGATAGATATGAACATATTGTGGCATATAAATCAACATACTGAGATAGATAGAGATAGATAGATATGAACATATTGTGGCATATAAATCAACATACTGAGATAGATAGAGATAGATGAATATGAACATATTGTGGCATATAAATCAACATACTGAGATAGATAGAGATAGATAGATATGAACATATTGTGGCATATAAATCAACATACTGAGATAGATAGAGATAGATAGATATGAACATATTGTGGCATATAAATCAACATACTGAGATAGATAGAGATAGATAGATATGAACATATTGTGGTATATAAATCAACATACTGAGATAGATAGATAGATAGATAGATAGATAGATAGATAGATATGAACATATTGTGGCATATAAATCAACATACTGAGATAGATAGATAGATATGAACATATTGTTGCATATAAATCAACATACTGAGATAGATAGATAGATAGATAGATAGATAGATAGATAGATAGATATGAACATATTGTGACATAGAAATCAACAGACTGAGATAGATAGATAGATAGATAGATAGATAGATAGATATGAATATATTGTGACATAGAAATCAACATACTGAGATAGATAGATAGATAGATAGATAGATAGATATGAACATTTTGTGACATAGAAATCAACAGACTGCGATAGATAGATAGATAGATAGATAGATAGATAGATAGATATGAACATATTGTGACATAGAAATCAACAGACTGAGATAGATAGATAGATAGATAGATAGATAGATAGATATGAACATATTGTGACATAGAAATCAACAGACTGAGATAGATAGATAGATAGATAGATAGATAGATAGATAGATAGATAGATAGATAGATATGAACATATTGTGGCATATAAATCAACATACTGAGATAGATAGATAGATGGATAGATAGATATGAACATATTGTGACATAGAAATCAACAGACTGAGATAGATAGATAGATAGATAGATAGATAGATATGAATATATTGTGACATAGAAATCAACAGACTGGGATAGATAGATGGCGTGCTGTCAGATGACAGTGGAAAGATTCTTGGTTCCTATGACGTGTACCTACCATTTCAACTTTGTCTTCTTTACAATGGAGATATATGGTTAATTATAAGATGAAAACACAAGAAAACAAATAAAAACTCAATTGCGCTTCATACTCTAAACCCGTTGTAATTTCCAATTAAAAAGAAGTTGTCTACATTGTTCATGAGAAATTCAGTTTAAAACAGCGCTATCAAAATTTTGAATTCCAATGTCATTAGTTCTCCTGTATGACAGGGGATGCTGGATAATCTCCTCACAGATGAAGAAGAGACTTGAAGCAACAGAAATGTGATTCTACAGAAGGATGCTGAGAATATCAAGGACTGAAAATGTGAACAACAATGAAGTTTTAGAGGAAATCAAAACAAAAAGAAAACTTATACTTAACAGATAGTTGAAATTTCTAGAGCGCATAATGAGGAAAGTGGGCTTAGAAAATCAGACACTCACAGGACAGACTGAAGGTAAGAGGAACAACGCACAACCTACTAAGTGAGCTTGAGTAAATGGATGTCAGAACCAGGTTTATGAGATATAACAACAAATTTATTAAGAGCTACAAAGGGCAGGGAATTGTGGAGAGGCATGAACGCCAATGTCCTGAAGGGACATGGCACATAAAGAATAATAATAATGTAATCTGTAAAATATATGATCTTACGAATGATTGATAGAAAGAAAACTATTGTCTCCTTCAGGTTGACCTGGGTTATCAAAAATATTTCTTCTGCTGTTATACTATTTTATCTTGTTCGTTTTAATCGAGAAGGAACCAGTCATATCCTTCCATTGAAACATGTCTTCTCTATTTACCAATCTCCCCACAAGGCAAGATGTAGTACAAGGCCAGTTTTTAATGTGGGGTGTTCCGAGTCCGTAGGCTCGGGAAAAAATTGCCCGTAGACCCCGTATACACGGGGGTCGAGTTTGTCTACCCCCCCTCCCCACCAATCGAAACTCTGCACTTAGGCTTAGACTCGTTTGGGTTCCACTTCGCTTGGATGCAGAGAGTTCGACAAAAGAGGAAAAGGAAGAGAAAGCCATTGAATCATATCTCATGCTTTGACTATTATGTAGTAAACGAAACCTGTTAGCGAAACATCTAACATCAATTACTTCCCTTTGAATGACGTCACTTCTTCACACATAATTCTTATTTTACTCTCTTCGTTTTTATGTGCCGTGTCCCCTCAGGATGCAGGCGATCATGGCTCTCCACAACTTCCTGTCCTTTTTATCTCTTATTAAACTTTGTATTTTTGTTTTTCCCCCTATGTTCTGCCATCCATTTACTCATTGTTATGCGTTGTTTTCCTCTGTACCTCTTGCACTCTATCTATGTCCAGTGAGTATCAGATTTTCCAAGCCCTCCTTCCTCATTATATGCCCTAGAAACCTCAACTGTCTTTTCCTGATGTTAAGTATTCCTTATTGTTTTCATTTTTTTCCAAAACTTCATCGTTACATGTTCGGTCCACGGTATCTTTAGCATCCTTCTGTAGAACCACATGTCTCCTCTTCATCTTTGAGGAGATCGTCCAGCACGCACTGTCATATAGAAAGACAAATATCACAGTACCCTTTTCCTAATACATCTCGTTATATTGTTTTATCTATTCAATCCGTCTGTCATCTAAAACAATCCATCTATATAGTACGTCATACCAAATTACTTTATATTTTTATTATAGTTAAACGTATCTTCTACGAAATAATATAGCACATCTGAAAATTTCGACAGTAAAATCTTGAAAATGGCCAGTTATACCAAATTTGAATTTACGCAATAAAATAAATATATTAAATAATTAAATTTTCTTGCTTGAAAAGATAGAAGTATATTTACTTTTGTCGGGTCCCTGTACAAATATCAATCAAAATGGAGTCGACGTTTTCCGTTTTATTAAATTAAACATGGTTATCTCGGGTGTCATCCGTTAGATGTCTGCAGTTGAATCAAACACAAGCCATGCTTCACAAGTGCTGTCAGCACGAACGCCCCCCTCCAAAAGAAAAATACATTGATGTATGCATGGGTGTTTGCCACTGCGCTGATGTGTATACAGTTGCTATGGTTGCTGGGATGTATGTGTAAAGACTTGCATTACATTTGCTTTTCTTTATCAATTTGCTTTCTTTTTTTTCTTACTAAGAATTGGGATATAGTCTTTTGTCATTAATATAAACAAAGACCAATTTGCCGATAACGTTCAAAATGAGCTTTAAAGATAACAGCCATTTTTTGTTGGTTCAATGACTATTATTTTAGCATTGACAAGGAAACAAAGAGTGAAATAAATGAAAAGGATATGAATATCGATTCTGTCACAGTTTAAAGATAAAAATATTATAAATGTCCATAACAGAACAAAATAGAAAATACACCAGTTTGATATATATATATATATATATATATATATATATATATATATATATATATATATATATATATATATATATATATATATATATATATATATATATATATATATATATATATATATATATATATATATATATATATATATATATATATATATATATATATATATATATATATATATATATATATATATATATATATATATATATATATATATATATATATATATATATATATATATATATATATATATATATATATATATATATATATATATATATATATATATATATATCTATATATAGTATGGATATTGGTTTGTGAGATGGGTGTCACGCTTTTGGTCATCAGACAACCTGGTTTATTTTTTTTTTAAATTAAATAAATACAATAAACCAGTTTGTCTGATGATCGCAAAAGCTGAATATGTTATCTCTATCACTGATATTGAGCACTTTCCACTAAATACTGCGCATATATATATATATATGTGTGTGTGTGTGTGTGTGTGTGTGTGTGTGTGTGTGTGTGTGTGTGTGTGTGTGTGGCCTGACGATTGCGTCTAGCATGAAACAGCCTGTCGCCTGTCGTGTTGACTTCAATGTTCACCTTTATATTTACACACGCTCTGTCTCTGATATTGAGCACTTTAAATAAAGCACACCTTAAGAGTATATTTTCTTCATATATATATATATATATATATATATATATATATATATAGTAGATTTCATCCCATGCAAGACAGTAAAGCTATTAAGTTACGAGGGGTTATTTGGTGTGGATGAAACAGAAAC